GGGAAGGGTGAATGCGGCCAAGTACAGGGATATCCTGGACGAACACCTTCTCCAGAGTGCTCAGGACCTCAGACTGGGCCGAAGGTTCACCTTCCAACAAGACAATGACCCTAAGCACACAGCTAAAATAACGAAGGAGCGGCTTCACAATAACTCCGTGACTGTTCTTGAATGGTCCAGCCAGAGCCCTGACTTAAACCCAATTGAGCATCTCTGGAGAGACCTGAAAATGGCTGTCCACCAATGTTTACCATCCAACCTGACAGAACTGGAGAGGATCTGCAAGGAGGAATGGCAGAGGATCCCCAAATGCAGGTGTGAAAAACTTGTTGCATCATTCCCAAAAAGACTCATGGCTGTATTAGCTCAAAAGGGTGCTTCTACTAAATACTGAGCAAAGGGTCTGAATACTTATGACCATGTGATATTTCAGTTTTTCTTTTTTATTAAATCTGCAAAAATGTCAAATTCTGTGTTTTTCTGTCAATATGGGGTGCTGTGTGTACATTAATGAGGAAAACAATGAACTTAAATTATTTTAGCATATGGCTGCAATGTAACAATGAAATTTAAGGGGGTCTGAATACTTTCCATACCCACTGTAAACAAAGGTCTCTTTATTGTACTATAGTTGTAGTAATAACATACGGTTATTGCAATTAGTAAAGTAAAACCATCGCTCTGAATACGTCCCATTGAAGTCTTTGTAATGAAAAACTAAAGACAATCACCAAAATCAAAGTGACCGATGTGTTTTCTTATACAACATACAACTGCAAGAAAAAAGTAATGGCACTGTTCACAATTTCCTGATTCTCTGCATAAATCTCTACTGGGTTGAGGTCTGGGCTCTGACTGGGCCACTCCAAATGGTGGATTTTGTGTTTCAGCAAACTGATTTTGTATGTACTTATCTGACCTTTTACACTGCATTTAGAATGCACAGAGTGAGACACATGAAAAACACACACTGTTGTCAGTTTTGTACTTTAGGTACACCTAGCTAAACAAATAACATCTAATAACAGTCCTGTAATAAATCTTCCTTCATGAAGTTGATAATTGTTCATAAATCTTCCTTCATGAAGTTGATAATTCAGTTTTGTTGAAACTGTTTTAGACAAGTGTTGATTCAACTGTATGATCATTTGTTAGGCAGTCTCTGACATTTAAATACTATGAGAAACCTGAGCCTATTACGTGAAAGCAGATTACCTGTTAGGCAGATGACTGTCCTGCTCATCTGGAGCTCCTCTTTCATATTGCTCAACCAATGCACGAACACACACACTCTTTTCCACATCCAGTCCACAGCCACTGAAAGATGGCAGATGAAGCAGAAGCTATTTATTTGTAAATAAGAACTGGTCTAAAATTATAACAAATATATAGAGACCAGTCTTATTTCAGCCATTCTAAGGATGATAATTTGGAAATCCATTAGACCACTAGAGGTCAGTGAATACTAAACAAGCACCAAATATATTATTGCTGTGGGAGATGAGGGTTTGTCTACATTAAAAATTAATGCACCCAGCATACCCGTGGCTATGTGTGACACGTGCAGGCTGTGAGGCATCAAGCCGTGCTGAAGCCAGTGCAGCAGCGGCATCTTGTGCTAGTGCAACAGTGGTAAAAGGGTTGTGGATGGCATGGCCCCTTGTCGAGCTCCTCCCGCTTCCAGCAGCAGTCTTATGATTGGCTGAAGGTTTGAAATGGGCAGCCAGGGCCAGAATTACCCTCATTACAGCCTTCAGGTTACCATCAACAATGTCTGCAGACAGAAAACCAACACACCGGATTTTGATTAAATTACAGTTGAAGTCAGAAGTTTACATACAGAAGTCAAAAGTGATTTTTTAAACCACTCCACAGATGTCATGTTAACAAACTCTCATTTTGGCAAGTCGGTTAGGCCATGTACTTTATGCATGACAAGTAATTGTTCCAACAGTTGTTTACAAATAGATTATTTAACTTATAATTCACTATATCAATTCCAGCAGGTCAGAGGTTTACATAGTTGACTGTACCTTTAAACAGGTTGGAAACTTCCAGAAAATTATGCCTTGGCTTTACAAGTTTCTGATAGGTTAATCGACTATTTAACTGATGATTTGAGTCAATAGGAGGTGCAGCTGTGGATTTCTTTTAAGGCCTACCTTCAAACCTTTAAACTCAGGAAGTGAAAGTTTAATCACAAATGGGTCTTCCAAATGGACAATGACCCCAAGCACACTTCCAAAGTTGTGGCAAAATGTCTTAAGTATGACAAAGTCAAGGTATTGAAGTGGCCATCAACCTCAATCCAGTAGGTCTGTGGACAGAACTGAAAAAGCATGTGTGAGCAAGGAAGCCTACAAACCTGACTCAGTTCCAGCAGTTCTGTCAGAAGGAATGGGCTAAAATTCCAGTAACTTGTTGGAAGAAGATTGTGGAAGGCATCCTGAAATGTTTGGCCCAAGGTAAGGAATTCAAAGGCAATACTACCAAAAACTGAGTGTATGTAAACTTCTGACTCACTGGGAATGTGGTGAAAGAAATTAAAGCTGAAATAAATCTTTTTCCTCTACCATTATTCTGACATTTCACATTCTTCAAGTATTGATCCTAACTGACCTAAGACAGGGGAATGTTTATAGGATTAAATGTCTGGAGTTGTGAAAAACTGAGTTTAAATGTATTTGGCTAAGGTGTATGTAAACTTCTGACTTCAACTGCGAGATTGAACAGTACATCAAGTGATGCATAACGTGTAAGGCCAGAGTTTTAACAATACAGAATTTTCTGTGATTTACCTCTGGCCGATATGTGTGACATACGTATATGTCTGGAGGAAATAAACTGCAAGACTTGTTCCACATTCTTCCTGCTTTCCTCTTTGTTTTGTGGAGCCACATACACTCCGTCCAGCACCTCCCCAGCTGTCATTTTGAATGAGAATTGAGAAACAAAGAAAAAAAAAAGAGAAAAACATGATGACGCAACTACTGGTTACATTTCCTGGTTACATTTCCTATAACAACACATGAGCCAAACCACAGTACAGTTCACACACAGCTTAAACCATATTATATTTAAAACTTTGTGATGTAATAAGGTGATTTTTCACTTTTCATTAGAGAAGCAACTGACTGAGAAGCATATCTGACAGTCCTTGCTCAAAACGTAATTAAGAAGTTCTTAGTAGTCAGGCAGTTGTTCAACTATACATGGATAAATACAAAGCATTTTAAACATGTCTTCTACCATAAACTAATTTAATTAGATTTATAAACAAAAACTTTAATCTGATCTCAAATTTTACTTATTCCTCCTCCAGTATTACTAGACTTGAGCCGTTTGTGTGTGTCAATGTGTATTTACCAACTATCTCTATTAGTTGTGTGAGGACCACACCATCCTGCAGGTCACGTCTGAGGTCTGTGATAGGCTTTAGGCCTGCTTTCCTCTTCAGCTGAGAGTTCACCCAGGAAACATATGCTGCCAGCTGCTGCTGCAGACGGAAAAGCCAACACACCACAGACCAACACATACACAAACACACGGCTTAGAGACAAATAAAGCTGAGACCCTCGAATAACAACTGAGCTCCTTTGTGTGTGTTTGAGGGGGGCGGCACATGACCAGTTTATTGTACCACTGCCCATTACATATTTACTTTGGAGGCAAACCACATAACTTCATCTTCTGTCCAGAGTCACATGGCATGATATCCCCAAATTTCAAACGGTACGCACCACCTTTACCGGTCACGTGACAGCCCGTCGTCTGGGATACATTACAAAGAACGCACCCAATACTGTAACCAACCGTTCGCTTAACGGTACCAGCGTTAGCCGCTTAATAAACTTAAATTGTCATTACACTTAACGTCACTGCTAGCATTATTAACGCCGGCTACCCAACAAAAATTATAAAGACTATATAGTTAGGACCAATCTTTTTCTGATACAAACTGCTTACTAACATCAACCAGCCGTTTTTGGCAAATGAGTTTCGCTTGCTAATTTAAAGCTAAACTATCTCCACAGACGTTTTCATTATTAGTGGCGCTGCGATAACACTAACTTACCTCGTTAAAGCCCCCGTGAAGAACCTCATCCAGCAAACTTCCTCTAGACAGTGAGGCGATCATCTTTTAACTCGAAAACCCATGTAAGCTAGCTAGCTAGCTGGCTGGCTGGCTAGCTTCATTTACTGACACACGACTCGCCTGAAACAATGAGCAGAACCCCGTCTATATCTACCGATCGACTGCAGCAGACATCAACAAACTGAGACAACAGCTACCGTTACTCTGTCTGGAAGACCGGTGTCAAGTCTCCAACCCATACTGATGTACAAACATCCTATGGTGGATTTCAAAATAAAAAAAAAACTATATTCACACTTCCGGAATTCATATTTTAACGCTTCATTTTATAGGGCTGGGCGAAACAAAACTTGGTCTCGATCAGATACCAATTTAATAATAATAACACCAGAGCCAGTATCAAGCACTTCAATTGAGGAAAATATCTAATAATTTAGGTGCTGAATGCATTCAGGATGTAGGCTATAGTCACCAAAAACTAAAAATGGATGTATATTTCATTTAAATAGCTATTTTCTGGGATCAAGTTAATCTAAATCCCATACAGCACCTGTGGAGAGATCTCAACATAGTAGTTGTGAGAAGAAACTCTAAATCTGAGAGACCTGGAGCAGTTAGCAAAAGAACAATGGTCCAAAATTCCAGTAAAGAGGTGTAAGAAACTCACTGATGGTTACAGGAAGTGATTCTTCTTCTTCTTCTTCTTGCAACCCCTGTGGCTAGATTGGTTAGCTAGATTGGTTACAGGAAGGGATTGATTTCAGTTATTTTGTCCAAAGGGTGTGCTACCAAATATTAAGTTGACTGTCAATAATTCTGTCCAGTCCATTTTTGGAGTTCTGTGTGGAATAGATCAGATTTGGCTTTTTTCTGCTTTTTTTGTGTTGTTTCAGTGCAAACAAAAGAAATAAACATGAGAATACCAAAGAATTTTCTGAAGGAAGCGGTGCGTTATATGACAGAAATGCAGGGGTGCCTATATTTTTGGCCAAAACTGTAGGATTCAAAAATGTGTGTCTTTATGGTCATCTGTGCAGTTGTTTTCTATCTGTCCATGGTCATTTTGTGTCTCTTTTTGACTATTTTGCAACTTTGTGGTCATTCTGCATCATTTATCTTAGCTCTGTGACCTTCAAAGAATAAATACTAACAAGTCACTTCATACAAACATATTCTTAAACATAAACAGCGTAAGTGACTTACTCTTAAACATTACAGAAATTAGCGGATGCGGGTTCTAATCTAATATGACATGGGCAAAATTCTTTATCTTACAAGATAACACTGGGTACCAGTTTGATTAAAAACTCAATATTTTTGCGAGAAGTAACTATAATATGACCTTATTATTAAAAATATATGCTGTATATATAGGGAGAAAACATCATTATGGATAGTGACAACAAAACAACTGAAAATACATAATGTAACACAGGCATTTTTGACATCAGCACTGTTCATCCAAAACAAACTGTAAACAGTGATTCCGGGTCCAGTTATTTTTTGCATTTAATTGTTCATGCATATGATAAATAACCACCATAAAAGCATATTAACAAATACAATACTTCTGTTCATAATAACTAAGTTAATTACATAAAATGTCCTGCAATGGCTGACATTGCTCTCTTTAAGAAATAAAATTCTCCAGGAAAAGAGACATGCATGTGGCCCTATATGAACTTCAGCATCAAGCTATGACTCTAAATAGACACAGGACTATTAGAGAGCAATGCTAAGTGCAGCAGCTAATGGGTCATTGTATTCTGATTATCTGGCTGAGAAGGAGCTTGTAAGAATGGAGGTGTTTGCTCAGAGACAGACTGGTCTCCTAAGATCCTCTCTCAATCTAGCTGAACTGTTGTGAAGTGGACTGTCATGACTCAGTAGACATTGGCATTTCCATGGCACTGCCATTTAGGATGTCGCCTGTGGAAGCATATTAAATTCAGACAGTGAAGATGTTAAACATTGCTGGTAAAGATAAGAATGTTAACAGTGCTCTTGAGAACATTTTAGCCTAGTATAAGTACAATACAAATTTTTTATTTACCAATTCGCAAAGTGGTCTCAGCCAGTTTGCTGAGGTAAGGGAGGTAGATGTTGGTGGGTCCAGGAGATGAAAAACTCATCTTTCCATCAGCCAACAACACACTCTGACCGAAAACACCGAGCTGATAGAAACAAGACATGTTTCACTTTTAATGCTTTGCCTACTTGTTAAACACTTTTGACTATGTTTAGTGTGTGTGTGTATGTGTTTGGGTGTGTCAGAAGGGGTGTATGGATATGTTTGTGTACCTGCATTTGCAGTAGTTTCTGTGTCAGTTTAAGAAAAGTGGTGCTCTGGGCTGCATTCAGATGACTAAGCAGCAAAGTGGCCCGTGCCAAGGTCATGTAGGACCCTGGTGGCATGAAAGTCCTTCCTGACAACAGACTCACTGCTTCCTACACTCAATGATAAACAAACATCAGACAGAAAAACTTTAAGTGCTACATCAAACAACAGTGAAAATAGTCAGTAAATTGTAAAAACTCATTTAAAAACCTTTAGAAAAAAAACTGATGTATAATTATTATTATAATTAGATCATAAATAAGAAACCAGAGGGGATAAAAAAAGAAAAAGATGTCACCACAAAAAGATGGCAATTGATGATGAGAACTGACCACAAATGTTGACATCCTGCAAGATCAAAGCTGTCAACATTCGGTGCTGGTACAATTGAGATGTTGTTACAGCATTGTACACGTGGGGCAAGTGGTACAATGGATAATGTGTCTGAATACAGGTCAGAAGATTCTAGGTTTGTGGTGAATGCCATTCAAACTGTCCCTATGAGTCAGACGATAAACGGCTTCATGCAGGAAAATATGCTTGCACTGCCAAGTTGACAAAATGATAGAAAGGCTGGAGAACATGAGTAACTACTGATTTAGTGCCATGACCCGGATGCGGTGCGGTTAGGTAGTGTTGGCGG